TCCACCATAATGTGAATTATAGGCGGATAACATTCTTGATAAAAGTGGCTTATTATACATATGCTCGTGGGGATATCAGTATCTAGAATACATTCAATCCCAGGTTAACCTTCAAGGATATGGATCTTCAAGACTGACGTGATACGGACTATGGTAACTACATGAAAATTTAAGACTGATATTGTTTTTAAATACCTTTCACACTCAGCCCTGTGAAATATTGATCTCTCCGCATTTAGACAAGTAGCCACAATCTGCCTCAAAGAGATATTTATGTGACTATCGACCTGAATGTCTACCTTATGTTCTTAATATCAGATATAGGATGACAAGTATCTATTCCATATTAGTTTGTTCTAGTTTTGATGATTAAACAGATTAAATACAACAAGTAATAACAATACTAGAATTGGTCCAAGAATATCATTATTCATTTCTATGTTGGCTACATTTGGGCACTGGTTTACTGCACTGTAGTTTATTTACTAAAACAATGACTTCAGTTATTGACCATTATTTCTGTTTCTGGTGTTGTCTTACATGTGAAACTATGTAAAAATACCTCCTCAAGGAGTCATTTGAGTTTGAATTTCTCCTACAGGGGATCAATAAAGGTACATCTTATCTTAAAGAAAAAGTCAAAGCCAACTTTTTTTAAAGTCTCAAGCAGTAAATGTGTCCTGCTTTGCACTGGACATAATGAGCCAGTAGCTTTTTTTGTTTGAAATATCCAACAAATTGGACCTCAGGACACAGAGTGTATCAGTATACTGTGCTCTCAGACTGTGTGTGTGTGTGTGTGTGTGTGTGTGTGTGTGTAAGTGCTGACTAACCAGCAGAGCTGGGTGCTTGTCCACCCAGAGGTGTATCCAAAGACCTCTGCCTCTTCTCCCTGTCTCTGTCTTTGTCTCTGTCTCTGCGGTGGTGGCAGCGGTGGTGGTGGTGACGGTGGGGAGGTCGATCCTGGCTGGGTTTCTCCAGGGTGTAGTCCCTCAGGTTGACCTCCTGGGGCCGCTGTGGTGCCACAGTGGAAGCTGAGCGCTTCATAGGGCTGACATCAGCGACAGACTGAGGGAGGAGGGAGGGGGAGACAGGGAGGCTCACTGAAAATCATGTCTGAGGTTTTCATCAGGCAAGTAAGTACTTGTACTTCTTTTATAGCTTCATACTGTGACTGCACCTGATTCTTGTACATTAAATTCCCCCTTATTCACTCACTTACAGTACTGCATGCACTGAGTTACTCCAGTGAACATTATTATTATCCCACTCACGCAGATGGTATGTTTACACATTACAATAGAGCATTTTATTTACTCAAGCATGTTATTAAAGACACTGACAAAAGAAAAGGCAGTAGACCCGAAAATAATTGCTTTGAACATGAATCAGGTATAAAAACCGACTGCCACATGGAACAGCAAAGAGAATGAAAAGGTGTTTGTTAACTTTACATTAAGACTGCGGCAGCAACTTTTTTAATGTAACTGTGTAGAAGTACTGTAGAATTACATACCTGGTCAAAACTGTCAGGTGAGACAGAACCACTGTCTCATGACCTCAGTATTTCTAAAATCATGGCCTGGACACTATGTATTCTACCACCCTGTGCCATCATACACCCACAGAATCAACTGTGAGTACAATGACAGAAGGTGGAAATACGCTGTCACTACACATGCATTGCCGATTGGTTAAAACCAACTATACAGCACTGATCGCTCACACTGTAATAAGATGTGCTGGTGTCTTTTCTTATACTACCACTGGGGGGAGTCAGAGTTGAAAGTCTTCAATTGCTACATAGAAGGGTGATAGAAAAATCAAGCTTGTGATCCAGAATAACACTACATCTAGTTGTATGGTGATATTGACCAATGGAGTGCATGTGATCATCTGACATCACCATCATGCATTATAATGACAGTGTATTTGGCTTTGATCTTACAGCACTGGCACTTTGGATTTAGGAGTTCATCCAACTGGACCAGATAAAGCTACACAATGTCTAAACCACACAGGTATTATAATGTTGTGTGACAGTGTGTACATACAGCTAGATGGATCCCCGGAGAGTGGCGCGATTGGCTCCGCTGTTGTGTAAGAGAGGAATAAAGGCCAGACAAATAGAGAGAAAGCACAGCAGAGGGAAAGATCAGCAGCAGATACAGTTTGTGGGTATAGTTCAAATATTTTACTTTGTGGAGAATTTCTAGATTATTATATAATTTTTTGTTAAAGAAAAAAAAATTATACATTCCTGTTGAAAATTGATGATCAGAGGAGGTTGTCACAAGTATTTCTGTCTACCATAATGAAATGTGGCTTCAAACTGGAAAAAAGTCACTTTCTTTCTGAGTTTTAAAATTGTTGGAAACATCTGGGCTAATGGAAGTACATAAGTCAACTACATATAGAATGTAGTTCTAGAGTTTATAGACATTTTAATGTGGAAATGTCGCAGATTATAGATTTGAGTTGCATAACCTTGAAAAACACTGCACTGCCGTCCACTACTTGAGGAAATATACTTACTACTGTCACTGCAGCATACTGTATTACCAGTTCAGTTCAGTCCTGTACTGTTGTACTGTGATTACATTTTCATCAGCTGCCAATAAGACAAAATGATGCACTGCAGGATGCAATAGAAACATTTTCTATGTGTTTCTGGCCAGCACTCACTCCCTCTGCCTCTTTCAGCACATCCTGGAGCCTCTGTGACTCTCACAAATATCAGCCTGGATTCCCTCTGTTCCTGCCTGCCAGGCTTGTTATCTGGACAGGGGCTGACAAGAGCATACCCTGCAAATTAAAATGGGGTTCTGCACATACTGTATTAAAGGGTAATGGAACTGCAGAATCAGGGTCTAATGTCCCATATCAGCTGGGTTAAAGGGACTGAGTGTGGGCCTTACTCTCTGTTCTACTTCCCTGTGAACAGAGCAGGAGGTCAGACTGACTGACGTTTTCCATGACACCACAGCACGAAGAAGGATTTTAAAGAGGAGAACAGATCTCGACAGACGTCATCTCCTGATCCTGGCAAAGCTCAGCTCAAATTAAGCAAAAGAAAAACAATCCAGCCAGAGTAAAAGATAAACTGCTGTGACTCAGGCTAGAGCCCCAGAGTTCACACAGCACGGTACAGTTCCCAATGACACTCAGCAGCAGCAGGCAATTTCCAAAAGGCCAGCATTAATTGAATTGGCTAAAGGATTTCCTGCCCTCTGTTCCAAAAGGTGAGAAAAATAAGACAGCAAGTCAACAAGGCAACCTCCCATCCTCGTTCCTTCCATCCTTTCATCAATCCCCCACTCCAGATTCTCTCTCTCCCACAGTAACCCAATTACCATCTTCCTCTCCCAGTAAATCTTGGGCCCAAAGTCATTTGGAGCCACTATCATCTTTTCAGTTGGCAGCAGGAGAAAAACGATACTGGACAAATAGCTGGCGGCCTGCCAGGATCTAATCTGATTACTGTAGACCTCTCCTCTGCAGCGAGAGTAGGATTAAACAGCAGCTTTTCCAATTGGGCTGTGAAAGGAATGCACTTTAAATGCATGAATCGATCAACATCAACATCACTCAGGAAATGAGGAGCTTATTATATTTCTTAGCATCTAGTGAAAGATTCATTTAGAGTTTTTCAGCCCTAACTGGATGAGAAGTGAGTCTTAGCTCCTTCGTGCTTTTTCAGTAGAAACGTTTGTGGTGGTTCACTACACTGTTCTAAAAAAGGTGTTGTTCTGGTTTATTCTCAGTAATGTAGGCACAGCAAACTTTTTCCTTCACTCACTGAGAATGTTGAGCTATGTTTAACACATCTCATGTTGAAGAAAGTAAGTTCCAGACAAAGAGGTATGTTTGTACAAGCAAGTGGAAATCAGACTTGTGCTATAGGTATGGTGCAGTGTTCATTTTGTCACTATGACAACAAAAAAAATGAGTTGACGAACTCTTTCTTTGATGAAATGTGCGTAGGAAAGGCGAGCAAAGATGGGTGATTTAATATTTCATAGCTAACAACACTATTGTTAACTGAGTCTTCAAATGTTCTTTAAGTTTTTCTAGTAAAGAACCTAAACATAAAGCCTATAAAACATTTTGTATAAGATTTCAAAATGAGTATAATATTTTTTATACTATTTAAAATAGTAAAATAAGTTACTATTATTTGTATTTTTTTAGACTATTTATTTTATTATTATTATTATTATTATTGTCTACTGATCAATAATAATAAAAACAATAATTTATCACCCAGATATATATTGTGCATCCCTTATAAATATACAGAAATCACCTGGAATCAGACTATTCTATAGTACAACAGTATCCTGTTGCCCAAATAATCTCTTTGATTTAACTGCTAGACCTGTTGCACTATTAATCAGCATCTCACATTTCAGTAATATTACATCTCTGCCAGTAAGCAGTGTCTACACAGGAGGTGTTTTTCAGTCATCTGATGGACCAGACAGTTTTATTTTAAACAATACAGCTTTCTACACAGGCTACGTAACGGCTCGTGTTTTACCCACGCTATACTATAATATACTATACTATACTATACTATACTATACTATACTATACTATAATATACTATACTATAATATACTATACTATACAGATCAGCCATAACATTGTTATGCACCCTGGTGGTCAGAATGTTGTGCAGCCCCATAGCAACAGACTGCTCTGCACTGTGTGTTCTGACCCCTTTCTATCAGAACCAGCATTAACTGTTTCAGCAGTTTGAGAGCTACAGTAGCTCCTGTTGGATAGAACCACACGGGCCAATCCTCACTCCCCACCGGTGCCATCAATAGCCTTGGCCCCATGACCCTGTCTCGCGGTTCTTTTTTCATCCTTGGGAGCCTTTTGATAGGTACTGAACCTCTGCAGACCGGGGAACACCCACAAGAGCCTGCAGTTTGGAGATTGCTCTGACACCCACCCCAGTCGTCTAGCCATCACAATGTGGCCCTTGTCAAAGTCGCTCAAATCCTCACGCTGCCCATTTTTCCTGCTTCTAACACATCAACTTTGAGATGATAACCAGATAATCAGTGTTATTCACTTCACCAGTCATGGCTCAGAATCTAATGGCTGATCGGTGTATAACCCAAAGTGTGTAACTAAGTGAGTGTGGGTCTGAGCAATGCCAAAATGTGGGTGGCCTACACTCAGTACTGTGTCTCAACACATCCTGTGTAGACACATAGGACTGAAGCTGCTGCTCTGCTAATGTGCTGTTCACGCTATGCTTCCTGTGCATAAAAAGTAACATATGTACAGACTGAATTCATATACAATCCAACTGGAAAATTAGTCAAAACAGCTGGGAAAAAACAGCAAAAGCATGCAGCTACTTGCTAGCTTCTTTCATTTCATTAACGTTTTGTTTCAATTTGATATTGTTACTGTTTATAGGCCATCAGTAGGAATATATGCAGGATTTAATGTAGGTTGTTAACCTTTGAATTTTAATATACAATGGCTTTTTGCTAAAGGAATATTATCACTTTGACGTTATCTGGCGTTTAAGCTGCTCGTCTTAAGCTAAACCCAGACACTGAAGGGCAGTGAACAAGTGAGTGAATCTGCAAGAGCAAGTTTCTGCTCTGCAGTGGAGAGGCCAGGAGGCTGTGATATGTCAAGTGATCAAGAACAAAAGTGACTAAGTGGTTCTGTTCAAACAGTTGGGAATGACAACTCTATTTACTGAGGAGAGTAGATCTGTTATATTACTGTAGAGTAGTATGAAATGGGTACTGTGTGTGTGAACGATTACAGTCTGTTACAAAGAAGTACAGTGCCTTTTCTCATAAACTTACAATCGGTGAGAACACAACATCCAATTTTACTGACACTAGACTAAAGGTCCAACATAATATTGAAATGACTAAAATGTGACAAAAAATAATACATTTTTGTCAAATGACAAAGGCTACCACTAAACCAGAATTAGTTTCCAAAGTGAACCCAGGTGTGGTGAAGATGAGGTGTTACCTGCAGTTCAGCATTGAGCCGTGGCATAGAAGCAGCTCTGCCCTGGTTCTCCAGACTGGTCTCCATCTCCCTCATCTCCACCGACTCCTGGATGTACACACGACTAACTGTTATTTTTCTTCTTCATGTCTCATTGAGCAACACAATTCTTGAGATTCTTCAGATGTTTAACAACTTGAGCCGTATGATGACACTGTCTGTACTACAATGAATAAAATACAGTTTTTCATACACAGCATGGTTTGAAAATGTGTCTGTCTACAGTACCTGAATGACGACAGTGACCGGTGTGTCCTCTGATGGGCCCCTTGACATGGTTCTCTTAGTCTTAGCTCGGGGCACTTCCTTGGGCTTCTCAATTTCACAGGAAGATGATGGGTTAAGGTGGTCATGACCTGGCCTGTGTGTTATAGCAGTCACAGCTCAGCATAATAACAATACAGTGTAAATCTCAATAGGTCAGTCTGCAGACGCCCAAATGGACCTTCATTTGATATCTTGATAACATTTGATGATTGGAATTCCTAAGGATTTAGTAGTAAAGTGAGTTAAAGCTGTTTCGGCACAGGAGTGTGAGGACAGTTTAGTGTTTGGGTGAAACCTTGAACTGAATGACTGA